AGAGAAGCAACTCTTGCCACAAAGAATCCAACCGAGGGAAAACTGGCAGCCAAATGGGAGGGACCCTACGTAGTGAAAGCCCGACCACGACCAGGCACTTACCGACTTCAAGACATGGAAGGCCGCGACCTCCCCCACGCCTGGAATGCGAAACATTTGAAGCATTACTATCAATGAGTTCATACTTTTGTATTGTCAACATTGTTGTATTTCCCTCTTTAATACATAATGCAAATTCTGACTGAAGTTCTCAGCTTTCATAATTCCACTGTCTGTATGTCGGTCCAAAGCCTCGGCCAGACCGAGCACTTCAAAGCCTCGGCCAGACCGGGCACTTCAAAACCAAGCAGGACCACATTTTCAACACTTAGTCACATCTTAAAGCTTATTCATAATTCCAGGACCACGTTTTTACTTAGTCAGATTCCGAAGATGCTATCACATATTTCACTCACTAATCAGATTATCTCCCACTCCATCCAATTTGTTTCTCCAATCTCTTCTCTACAATTTGCAACCCCCTTTTCTATTCCCATCCATAGATCCTTCATCCATCCTTATTAAACTGGAAGTCATAACCCCATTCGCATATTATGTTCTACAATTTCATAATCCAATTTTTTAATAAACCACTATCACCCTTTCAATTTTCATACAAATCCAATCTCACTCTGCAGAGAGGAACGTTTAACTTAACAATTTTTAATTTTCATACACATTTTTATTGCACAATTTTTATGGCCAGTTTTTATAACTAGACTTTATTCATTTTAGCCAGTACAGGCCAACATAGTCAATTGAAAACATAAATGCAATTTTATTCATTTACATTGTGTACACAAGTTCATTACAATAATTAAAAAAAAACAACAACAACAAAAACACAAAACAATCACTTCTGGGCCACATCATCTTCCTTGGTCATTCCTCCTCGCTGGATACAAGCTCTTCTTCTTCAATGCCCTCGTCCAAGGGGGCTGGGCCACATCATCTTCACCAATCGTGACACTACTGAGGTCCAAGTCTGGGAACAGCTTTTCAGCTCTGCGTTTGAACATCTTCCAACCGCTGTCCCAGAACTCAACCATTTCGTGCTTGTAGAAGTCTGACTGCTGGAAGCTCTCAATCACTTCTACCTCTGTCCTGCCTCCAGCAGTCGTCCTTGATGGGCCCACCCCCCCAGACTCTTGCCCAGCTAGACTCATGGCGACAGCGGCATCTACCGCCATCTGAAATTCGGGAGACCCTTTGTATTGCTCCACTGCTGCGACGCACAGATTAGGGTAGGCCGCCCTCTCAGAAGCCGCCTTCGCCCTCTCTTCGTCCAGCTCTCTCTGTAGGGTCCCCCTTTCAGCAGCCGCCTTGGCCCTCTCTTCCTGTAACTCCTTCTGCAGGCCCTCCCTCACCTCCACTGCCTTAACACGCTCATCTTCTAGCTCCTTCTGTAGCCCAGAAATCTCCAGGTCTGCGTCTTCTTTTTCCTTGATCTACTGGGCACGCAGATTTTCATTGCTGGTCATAGCCTCTTCAAATCGTTCGATGGCGACCGCGCAGTCCTTTTGAGCATCCCCCAGCTTTTTCTGCTCGCCTGGCAGTTGGAACTCGAGCGACGCAACCTGGCGGCGTTCGTTCTCCAACTCCAACTTGACCGCTCGTAGCTCAGCATGGGCACTCTCCTAGCCTGCACGCTCCGCCTTCAAACTAGCAAGTTGAGACTTGGCCTCGTCTGCCCTTATCTTTGCAGCCGCCACCTTTCTCAGCAGAGCTCCTGCTAAGGTGGTTACCTCAATTTGAGCAGAGCATAACCCCCTCAGCAACTTAGCCTTATTGAATCTGGCTACTGAGCGCACGGTTGCCTCATCCACGATCCCTACAAGGCGATCTGCACCTGCCCTGGCTGGGCCTTCTTCTCTCTCCAGTTGCCCAGCCACTGCCCGAGCGTGGTAGATCCCGGTCGTCAGCCTGACACCCTCTCCTTGGGGCGTAGGATCCCCCTGGGGCTGTTCTCCTCCCCTTGGCTCAAGGCCAGTTGCCCCACCCTCTACTTGCACTTCGGGGGCAACCCTCGCCACCTCTGAGGTGATCTCCACCATTATTGGGACGACCTCCACTCTCTCCGAGGCGATCTCCACCACTTTTGGGACGACCACCCCTCATGGGGTCTCCTCCATTCCCCCCTTCTCTGCCTCCTTGGCCATGCTGGTCTCTTCTGCCATCACTTCCCTCCTCCTCTTCATGGCAGGCTCTTCTTCACTCCTCTTCACTCTCCTCTTCTTCTTTACCACACGCTCCACCTCCATCTCCTTCAAAGCCCTCTCCTTTAACGGATCTGCTGGGGCCGGTCGGGGCACAAATCCACCTAAGTCTTTTTCCCCCAAGGGTTTGGGGCGAGGTCAGATCCTCTCCCTCGCAATCGGCTTTGGCGGTCGGTCTTCTTGGGACTCTTTGAACTTACTGGCTTTGGCGAGGATGGCTATATCCTCAGCCTCTTGCGCTTTCCTCCTCGCCTCCAATTCAGCTCGCCCTAGATCTCCACCGCTCAATTGAGGACCCAGCCCCGCTCCAAACAAGGCTGAGGGTTGAACGAGCTCGTCCCACTTGACTCCCTCCTTCTCTTGCCATGCCTTCACCTTCTTTATTCTCTCCTCTGCCGCTGCTCCCAGTTTTGGCTCTACAGATTTGATGGGCACTCTCCACACCGTGCGCACCCCAGCCCCTCCGTTCGCAGACACATAGAACCACCGCGGCCTCCAACCTTTAATTGATGATGGCAGCCCCGCTACCAAACCCCTCCCTGCCGCCGCTTGCAACGTCACCCAAGTCTCTTGTTGTCCTGAGGCCTTATAACATGTGAAGAATTCGTCTACTGTCATGGCCGCCCCTTTGTTCGCCTTCGGCCACGCGCTTGCACAGGCCAGTACAATCTTCCACGCATTGGGCATTAGTTGGCCCGGTGCCACCTCCAAATGGTTTAGGACATCTACCACCACTTGCGGCAGTGGCAGCCTCAGTCCTCCTTTCAATGCTTCCTCGTAAAGGGCAAACTCCCCCGGCCTTGCGTCGGATGGCCTTTCTGTTGACGTCGGCAACAATAATTCTATTTTAGCAGGCACCTGGTATTTTTCGCGAATAGCCTCCAACTCCGCCGCGGTAACCGTTGATTTGTCAGCCTTCGCGTGCCAGTGATCTGGTTCCGCCTGGCTGATTGGCTTCGGAGCTGCTATCATGGTGGAAGCATGAGATCGTACCACCGGTTCCCCCACCCTCTCCATTTGCCTTTCCGTCCTATACTGCTCTGCTAACTCCACTACATCGTCATCACCAAGTAGATCCACCCTGACATTCACAGCTTTTTCTTGGGCCATTTCTACGGTATGTCTGCGAATCGCTTCGAATGCAGGTGCAAGGAAATTGAAACAATGTTGCAGAGGTGTATCGTTAACAACAAAGGAGTTAACACTTGGGATGTTTTGATTTTTCGCAAAGAAGTAGGTAAATCGAATAATGCCAAAAGCCCAAGGCTTGCTCGTATTCCAAGGGTCGCAATTAATTTGAGCCAGTTTGAAAACTTTTCAAAACATCCGCCAAAAGTGTCTTTTCAACACCTATAATGACCTATCGTCTCATTTCTGATCCAATGGTTAATCTCCCCCTCACGAGATGTTGCCACGTGTACGACTACGATCCACTGTCTCCTCCCCTTACCTTGTCTTTTCCATTTCAAATTATCACGTGACACGCCGCCTCTTGAACCCCGTGCCCCTTCACCTTACCCTTCGCGGTCGGCCCTCCTCATGGTCAGCCCTTCCACTCGGCCAACCTTCGCGGTCAGCCCTCTTCGTGGTCGGCCCTCCCACTCGGCCAACCTTCGCGGTCGGCCCTTCTCGCGGTTGGTCCACCCACTCGGTCACCCCTGTCGGTCGACCTCCATCCTGCCAATCTCTAACAACCTTATTCTCTTCATTAGTATTCCTTTTGTTGGACCAAAGCTGCACTCAGAAATGGGGGACTACTGACGTGGGTAAGCCTATAAAGGCCATAGCCCACTATGAACAACCCAAGCCTATCACTTGGAGCTCAATACATAACCCAACTGGTGAAGTCCAGAACAGCTGGAATCCAACGTGGCATAAAGAGCCAATGACATTCAGACATACGGCAGGTAAAGGACAAGCCACATCAGCAGACAAAGATCTGCAAAGTTATTGCTACTGCGCATCACCATTAATGCAGCCCATCACAGCATTTATTACGACTTATGGGGTTCTGTTTTTCATTTGTTTTTGAGTTCATACTGGCAGTAACTTTGCTACACTTTGTCTTGTTTTTGTCTTGCACAGTGGGCATCTTACCTACTTCTATATTGTAGTTTTTATTGGGATTATTTGTTAGATGGGACCAAGAACATCATTTTTGGGTGCGGTTGCTCAAAGTTTTTAGGCAACTATCTTGGGGCTTTTGTCTTCACTATTGATGTATCCTGGTATGTTCTCTGAGTTCTTTCTTTTTCAAGCTGGTGACATACACGCAAAAGTATTTTGAGAGTTGTAGTTTTTGTTAACTGATTTTATGTTTTTTATTTTAATCTCCAGAGAGATTGCTCCTTCAGTGCCCAAATTTGGAAAGTGTGCATGCATTTGGTTGCCAAGATATGTTGGTTGAAACCATTCAAAACCAGGTGAATAATCTATAGTTTTTATATTTATTTGCCCTGTGCAAATCAGAAGGCTGATAACATTTAGGCTATGTGGGCATATGAGAAGACTAGACTAGACTAGACTGGTTCAAGATAGCTCAGCAACCAACCATCATATTTGCAGCATGATATTGTGCTCTTGTTGCCAATTTCTTTCCTTCTCTAATTTGGGGATGCTATACATTAGATGTAGGATTGTCGTTACCACTAAAATCATTTTAACTTTTTTGTTGATTGTCTTTTTTTTTAAGGATTGAAATGGACTGAACAAACTAAATTTTCTGTAATTTTATTTGCCACATTTATAGGTCTCTAGTGAATCTGCTGCTGTGGAAAACCATTTTCCTTATAGGCGATTAGGTGATGGATCCAAGAGGGTTCGAGTCCCACTTTTTCTCGGCCAACAGGTAATGCTGAAAGCTTGCAGATGAATATTGCTGATTTTGTTGATGACAAATAGTTGCTCTCTCTTGGAGGAGCATTCTGTTTCTCATTTATTGTGCTACATTTCGGGAATTATGTTTGGTTCATATGCGTTTGCTATCTCATAGTTATGCAACTACTTCAGAAAAATGGCATACTAAACGCATTTACAACACAATGTACCCATCAATTACATAAATAAATGTTAACAATAGTATGCCTTCCTTACGGAATTTAGTTATTCGTATTTTCCTTTGTTGATGATATATATAGAACTTTTCTGATGAGAATCATTGCCACTTGAAGCTATTTTCCCTCAGATGAGAACTTATTTTGTTGGAATTTTAGCTTACAAGCTTCTGTTTGTTGCAGGAATCTGACGATGGCAAAAGGGGAAGGAGGGTATTTAAAAGACAGTGCACTGTGATCATGGATTAATGGAAGATGTGTCCTTCGATGTTATTTTTGACTTGGCAGTAATTTCGTGTTGCCATGTTAGATCCAAAGGGCATATATTAAGGGTCAAAATTGTTTCTGTAATTGTTCAAAATTGTGGTTGTAGACTTATTGACCGTAGATAATGCCTTTTCCTTCATCACAACTACAGCCCTTTATAATTTTATTTTTTATTTTTTGTTTTTATAATCATGGGGGTGAAAAAAATCCGATGATCAACTTTATTTTTTGTGTTAAATTCACCAGTCATAAATGATACTTTTTGCCCAAATGGATTATGACAATGACTATTCATCTTTCGAATGTGATTTACTGAATGATACTTTTATAGCTATATTCAACTAGGCTCAATGGCAATTGTTCATTCTCAGAGCAGTTCCTTCATGAGATTGATGCCTTTGGTCTTTGAGGTTTGTTTGATTTTTTTTCGATAGTTCACTTTTATGAGTTTGGCTTCTGGTTTTCCTTCTTCTTCTGACTTAATTTTCTGTTTCCTTCGCTTATTATCCAGGATCGTCTCACCAAATCGTCTGGTATGTTGTTCCTTGTGCTTTGTTTTGTCAATCTTGAAACTAATGTGTGAAGCATGATTAATTAGCATATGTGTTTAACTATGTGCACTGTAGTTTGCTTTGTGTCAGAACATAAGTAATATCAAGGTACTTCTACAAAAATTTATTGTTGTGTGCTTGAAATTCATTATAAAATATCTATAAACCCAACGCAGTGATGAAGACCTCTGTGGTGCTTCACTCTGCTGCTTCAGGAATGTTTTTCCTTTGTTCACACTGATTGAAGGTGGAACAGATTTTGCCTCTTATGGGGTTCTGTTTTTCATTTGTTTTTGAGTTCATACTGGCAGTAACTTTGCTACACTTTGTCTTGTTTTTGTCTTGCACAGTGGGCATCTTACCTACTTCTATATTGTAGTTTTTATTGGGATTATTTGTTAGATGGGACCAAGAACATCATTTTTGGGTGCGGTTGCTCAGAGTTTTTAGGCAACTATCTTGGGGCTTTTGTCTTCACTATTGATGTAATGTACACTTTACTTTATATATATATATATATATCAATAACTTTTCTTTAAAAAAAACCTCAATCGAATGATTAGATTCAATTTGAAGTGCCGATTGATTGAGAGCCTCTTTTAAGACTGTTAATGTTGAATAAAGAGATGGCTGAGTTTATATGTCGTCTTAAAATTAATTTTTTTACCTGGAAGCGATACCCATTTTTCCTCAAATTTGTCTAAAATTTTTTGAGTCCTTGTATTTTGGCCAGATTACAGTATATTTTTTCCAGCTCCTTGGCAGGAGTTCGGAGGTAGGAGAAGATGTTATTGAGACCGTACGATTGCACTGGTAGCAGAAATAGAGCTCAGGCTGTACGAATGCATTAAGTGGCAGAACAGTAGGACTTGACGGTTCTGCTGTAGGAGCTTGGAATTCCAGCAATGCAGAATCTCTTATAAGATATACTGTCAACAAGGGATACACTATTAATGGCTGGGAACTTGGTAAGAACTCTCATACATCATTCCAGGCATGCCGAAAATAAGAATAAATAAATAAAAGTAAGAATAAAAATAAAAATAAATAATAGGTTACGGTGTTCTTCCTTTGAGGTGTGATTTATAGAACATATAACTTGAAAAAGAATTTATCTGATTTTAACAGTAGCTATTTCTTTAGGTATCACTACAGCAATTAAATTACTTCAAATTAGAATTTATCGTATCTTGATGGTGAATCCCAGCAATTCAGCAACCTCCAAAGCATTTTAAAAGCCTCTGGAACTTCAACAGTAGCATGGGTTGGTGAAGCCGGTGGAGCTTATAACAGTGGCCGTAATCTTGTCACTAATGCGTTTGTGTTTAGCTTTTGGTACGTAAGATCTGACTTATTTTCAAGATCATTTTTTTTCTCAACTCTCAGATAGTATGTTCAGCTTAGGACTAATCTTTATGCTAACCAAACAGGTACTTGGATCAACTTGGGATGGCAGCCTCTTATGATACCAAAACATACTGTAGACAAACATTGATAGGTGGAAACTATGGCCTACTCAACACTACCACCTTTGTTCCAAATCCTGATTACTACAGGTTCTATTCCTGAATCCCACAACATTATCTTTATATCACAGCAATCATGGTGATGAAAATCATCAACTTTTATTCTCACAAAATAAGAATGAGAATTAAAACGAAGATGGATCTATGTATGCATATCTATATGTATATATACACACGCTGATATTGTCATTACCATTTTTTGGCTCCAAAACAAGAGGCAGAGCAACCAAACTTACTTATTTTGAACTGTTTTTTTATGTGCTTAATGAAACCATTGTGCAGTGCTCTTGAACACAATCCTGAAGCTTTTTGCAAGGTTGTTTTGTGTTTCCCACACTATCTGCACTACTTGCGTTATTTACTTTTTCACTAGTGGTTAATTTCCATTGAATTGATTTGTTTGTCTGTGATTTCTGGATTTTTTGAAAAGCTTAAATTTTGGATTTATTTCAGAAAAAGACATTCCAACTAATTTTCTGGATGAAGTTGCAAAGCAAGCCTCAAGCTCTGGAGCACAGGTAGGGATATTCCTGACCATGTGCTTTCACTAAACGGATTATACTCTGATAATTGCAGTGTGATGGTTTGTTGAGAAGATACATAAAAATGATGTGGAAAACAGGCAGGGAAAACAACAAAGGAAAATTTGTTGAGAAGTTCATTTTTAAGGGGTATATAGCATTCAGTCAGAAACTTCTCTTAAGGTTTTTATTGATGATGTTAACATTTTTTTTTCATTATCTTTGTCAGTCAGAAACTACTATTCTAAAAGTAGTGTGCCTTTAATCTTAGTTATTATCTTTGTTTCCATTTAACTGTCGTGATCCCATTTTGTATCGGAACTCTGTATCAAAATTTTGTTCGTTGATTATACTATCGTAGACTAAAAAAAAAACGATTTAGATTATTAAGATAACTTATAATGAATTACATGGGCATAAATAGTACAATTCATTCCATAGATATGTGCAGGAGATTGAAGGATGTTACAAGTGATTGGCTTTTCCCACTTTTTGCGGTTATATCAACCATTTGCTTGGTGGATTTAGACAACTGTGACATGTTGCTCCCTTTTTTTCATGGTTGTTGGTGCAGAGGACATGCACCATCGCAGTGAACTATTGTAATTACGAATTTGACGCTTCTTCCTTTTTCTTGCTTTGACTTAAAAAAATGAGTATAAGAATCTAACGCACATGTTATCTTGCAGGGTATGATATGCAGTTCGATGTAAAATATGCTTACTTCAACTTCTTACAATCAATTCCTCACCCATCATCCCATGGTCTGACACCACATGAAATGGGATTTGTTGGATCATCCTCAGATACATCTATTTGCTATTTAGGAGATGAACCAGATATCAATGCTATGGAGAGGGTGAATGTGGCTGAAAACGGAGGTGACAGTGACGAAGAATGAATAATGATGTGTTAATGAGGGTGGTTTGATCTTTTGAGGAGCTCTTTGGTGAGAAGATGCAGAGTGTAGAACAGAGAAAAAGCCGGAACATCTTCTATGTTTGCATCATTGAACTTTTGAACAGGTTTTGGGGAATTTTGCCTGCTGGTTGAAGATATGGTGACAGAACTATCTCTTAGTATTCTCAGTAAGTTGGGTCTCTTCAAATATTTTTTTGTAGAGTTCTTATTGTCAGTGGGAGAGACTGCTGCTAAAGTAGGTTCAATGAACGAGGCTCCTGCTAAAGAATGGCTTGAGAAGAGCAAGATGTTTTGATGTTCTTTGAAGTACCAAAAGTGACAGCTATGTTTTGATTGGACATTGGTGGTTTTATTTTCACTTTGTGACTTCTAGTTTTGTTTATTTATTTTTCTTAAATGAACCAAACAAAGGAAAAAGAGAGAATAATAACAATACTCGTATCAGATTGCTTGGTCTTAGTGATCACATAACTCTGTAATATCAATTTTCAAGAAAATTTATGATCAATGATTAAATCACAATGACCATCACATTATATTTACTCCTTTTTATATATATTTTTTCTTGATAAGATCAAAACTTATTTCTCAGTTGCTTGTTTGCCATTCTTTATCCATATTGGATTAGACACCGCAAGTTCACTGTTACAATTGGTGTACCAATTGAGGATGTAGTGTTGTGGGGATATACATTGGAAATACTCTTTCGATTTTGGGGGATGTTCGTGATCCTCTGGTTACCACCTGAAAATGAATAAACACTCCGGTCGGGGGTGTCGGAATTAGCACTCCGACGGGCAAGTTAGTCTCTACACTCAGGATTACTTGTATTATAAGTTAAGCGTAATGGTTCTCACATACCTTCCTCTGACTGATGATCTTGTATTTATATTACTCTACTTCTTGAGCCTCGGGACTGGGCCCACTTTCAATTTGCCGTGTAATTATTTATTTGGCTTAGTTTGTAGCAAACCGTTTCTCACTCGGTCCCTTACTCAATCGGCTATACGGTCAAATAGGGCAAGATTTAAATTGCAGGACGGGGTCGAATGAAATATATGCTTCGACCCAGGTCCAACTATTCGGCCTCTCCATGAATCCCAATATTCGGCCCCGCAATTGCCCCCCGAGCACTTCACTTACCACAGTTAGCTGTGGTGTTTGGTTTTGAATTTCGAAAGGTCAGAGCCGAAATTTGGCGGCTCACCTCACTTCAACGCGGTTGTCAGAGCACACACCTCTCGGTTATCATTTCAACTTCCTGACCCTTCGTACGCCTCCATTTATTATGATTTAAAATCTTGTCGTCTTTTCAAACATGCACATTTTGGACGCTTAAAGTTTTTGAACTGCCTTCCGACTCTTTTCTGCAACTTCCATTCGTCCTCCATTATCTTCTCCATCTCTTGTAAGTCTCCTTCCTCTCTGCTTTCTCTCTGCTTTGAGTCATTTTTCCTGCTTTGCCCTTAGTTTAGCACACTCCTATAAGCTTATCGAAATGACAAAGCATCTAAAAGACTTTTTTCCTGCGGATCGAATTTCTGGCTTTCGACGCCATTTTCTATCCCTGATGATGTTTGTCTGTCTGTCGCTTGTGACAGACGGCACTCTCGATATGGAGAGGGACGATGAAAGTACAATCGTTTTCCCTCTTTTATCGATTGCAGAGGGTGGAATCCGTTTCCCGCTTCATTCATTCCTTAGGGCTGTCCTTCGCCATTGGGGTCTAATCCCCTCTCAACCCAATGTCAATTTTTTTAGAATCGTAATGGGGATTATAGAGCTAAACCGTCGCCTTAGGATTAACCTCGACACTCCTGCTATTCGACACTGTTACGCCTTGGTGAAGTCTTCTGGTCGGCATGAACGCTATTTCCTTAGGGCTAAGGACACTAACTATCAACTAGTGACTATGCTTTCCAGCTCTAGAAAGCGAGTTGATGACGTTATGGTTGTTGTCCGAGGCAATTGGGAATTCGGCGAAGGCGAGGATCACCTTGATCCTATTCCTAGACGGAGGGGCAAACTAGGTGGCTGTATAGCTTCTTGTGTCTATTTTTCGTTGTATTTATAAAACTTTATTTTTGAGACCTTATGGTTTTTGTTTATGCAGGAAACGATTTGAAGAAAATCCTGACCTCAACTGACGAAGCCGTTCTTTCGGAAATCAAAGTTGCGCTCAAATATTTCGGCCGCCCAAGTCTCCAGAGACAACGGAGGGCGGCCCACATGCTGCTTCCCTACGAGCTGACCTATCCGACCTTCTCGGCAGCACAAAACATCCCAATACCGAAGGGTGAAGAGTCTCTTACCGCTCTCATTTTGACCGACTTCAAAAACTTACGACAAGTCGGTTTCGAGGGATCCGATTCGGAGCGCGCGGAGGTAGCTGAGGTCGCCGAGTCAGATCAGTCTGAAGCAAAAGTTGACGAGGCATTAAAGTTGGCCTTTGAGGAAGTCGGCCTTAATTCAGTCGGCCTTCCGTCTACTTTGGGCCGAGGGGGCCTTCCATTTGAAAACGTTTTTAACGGCTTAGAGGACCTTCCCGGCACATACCCCGAAGACATGGCTGGGTTAAGTCTCATACAACTTGCCAAGAAGGCGAATGCGGAAAGGATGGCCGCGCGACGAAGAGCAGAGGCCATTCAATCTCAAGTGCCAATTGTCGCCGAATCCCAGCCTTCCCTGCCTGTTGCTGAATCTCAACCCCCTTTGCCTGTTGAAAAAATGGCAAAAAACCAAAGTGCCGAGTCCGCTATGGTTGTGCAGGCCGATCAAGAGGCCGAGCAAAGGGCAGAGAAGCGTCCTGCTGAGGTCGAGGCCGGCTCGAAAAATCGTGCCGACAAACGACCTCATTTAGAGGAATCGGATGTGATCGTGCCCTTTGTCATTCAGCCGAAGAAAAAAAAACTCGCCGATCTCCTCTGATGCTTCGGTTATTAAAGATCCTGTCGTCGCGCTTTGCATGGCTACGTCCGTTTCATTGCCGGCTGACAAGGCGGCTTTCCAGTCAGAGCCGGATCTGGTTGCGATAGCATTAGCCGCTCAGTCGGCTCTTTTGGTATATATCTTGACTTCATCTTTTCATTTTATGCAAATACCGTTTTGGTTCTAATTTCCTGTTTTGCAGACGGTCGGTAGGATAACGGAGATGGGCCGTCGTTATCATGATGCCGTCGAACAGCTTGGCCATTTACAGATGGAAGTTGAAGGCCAAAGGAGCAAGGCCGAGTTCGAGGCTTTGAAGGCGAAGATGGACGGAGCGAGGGCCGAGGCTGACATGGAGAGGGCCAGAAATGCAGATGAGCTCAGGTTGGCTGTCGAGCAGAGGGCGAATACGAGTGAAGCTGCGCTCAAGTTAGCCCAAGAGGCGATCGCCAAACTTGAGGCGGACTTGGCAGAATCGAAGACGGCGAAGGAATTAGCCGGTTCTGAAGCTTTGAAGGCGTACGAGGCAGGGAAGAGCGCCGCCCTCGACGATTACGTGGAGCAAGTCCCCAAATTCGAGAATCGGGGATTCAAACACGGCTGGCTCAAAGCCCTTGCTGCTGCTGATGTGACATTGGCTATGCCGATTCCATACGAGCAAGTGGATGTTGAGCCGTTGGAGTTTGACTCCGAGGACTAATTTGGGCGACGTTTTTGTTTTAGGATTTTTGTTTTAGGATTTCCTATGTATTTTTACAGCTTTTCGTTTGGTAATTTTCATGTATTGCTACAGCCATAGTTGTTTTGCTAGGCATTTTCAAGCGAACTGTAGCTTTTTGTTTAGTAATTTTCGTATGTAAAATGGCTACAATTTGTGCCCAATTTACTAATGATTTTTTTTTTTACCTTGCTATTATTTGTACTAAATTTTGTTGTTGATGAATGTGTAGACACCCCATTTTTGACTGACCTTAAGACTCAGACGTCTTCAATTGAGTGCTCGGTGATGGTGCATGTTGTGCTCGTTCTGAAGTTTCGGAGTTTTGGTTGAGAGCCTTACCCTCCGAGCCTCGGAACTTTTTGTGCCTTGACTCGGTTTGCGGACCAGGTCTTTTTTTCTTTTCTTGAAGGGAGGAAGAGGTCTTGTAGACCATCTCTCAGTGGTCGTAGACTACTTTTCGTGGTTGTAGGCCACTGTTCCCGTTTGGAGACTAGTTTCCGATTTTCGGAGCCGTTGGCCGTGCGTCTCGGTTCGGGACCGCTTAACATTCTCCGTTTGGCATGGTTTTTGGAACACACCTTGTTTCCTCTGTCTAGAGGGACACTGTGGTCCGAGAGACCACTTTTGTGGCTGTATGCCCTTTTGGTGCTCAACAGCCAATTTTCAGGGCATCCGGTCGCGCGCTTTGCCCCCCGAACTCTCGTTTTGCATCCGTGTTGGTTCATTTTTGGCATGAACCTTGTTTTCCTTGTTTGGGAGGTGGTACAAGGGTGGGAGACCACCTTTTGTCCTTGGAGACCATTTTCTCCCCGCCAGCCGGTTTTCTTGGTGGGAAGCTGGTTTTCTTGGTCTTTGGGCCACATTTGCTGGTCTCCCACCACACCACTAGCTTGCTTTCAAAGTGGAGACCACCAAATGGAGCCACCAACCACTTTTTGGTGTGGGAGACCACCTACCCTGGTCGGCCGACCAGGAGAAGTGGTCGGCCAACCCCCTTTTCTGGTCGGCCAGCTCCCTCTTGTTCTGTCTGTTTGAGTGGATGTCAGCTGTGTCAGCTGGAAGGCACAGACTGTGTATGGAGGATCTTGAGCCTTGTTTTTAGCTTCTTGAAGAAGCTTTGGCCTTGTTTGTCAATAAGAGAGGCCCTCCCCCTCCTTGAACCAGATTCAGAATTTCTCTAAGGCAAAACAATACATATCTCTCTATATCTCTATATTTTGGCTCATAAGGTGCATTGTTCTTGACCCTTTTACACTACACCTCATAGCC